AGTACTTCAGTTACCTTTTTGTTCTCTTGATTCGATAAACCCACTCAAGATAATTAATATAGGAAAATCATTCAAAAAAAGAAAAAAATATGTGTACAAACATATTTATAGATGTTTATTCACATCCTTGAAACCCTAGAATTGATGTGAATTTAGGAGAAATACTTAAGTTAACTATATCAATATCCAGTTATATTGTGTAGCTATTAAGTTAATAAATGCCATGCTTCTGTAGAAGCATAAGGGCATTTTTTAAAGGATTTATTTATTTATTTGAGAAGGAGAGAGCATAAGCAGGGGGAGGGACAAAGAGGGAGGGAGAGAATCTCAAGCAGACTCCCTGCTGAGCATGGAGCTGACATGGGGCTGGATCCCAGAACTCTGAGATCATGATCTGAGCCAAAATCAAGAGTCAGGGGATCCCTGGGTGGCGCAGCGGTTTGGCGCCTGCCTTTGGCCCAGGGCGCGATCCTGGAGACCTGGGATCGAGTCCCACATCGGGCTCCTGGTGCATGGAGCCTGCTTCTCCCTCTGCCTATGTCTCTGCCTCTCTCTCTCTCTGTGACTATCATAAATAAATAAAAATTAAAGAAAAAAAATTTAAAAAAAAAATTAAAAAAAAAAAAAAAAAAAAAAAAAAACAAAATCAAGAGTCAAATGTTTAACTGACTGCCACCCAGGTACCCCTAGGGGCATTTTTTTATAATGAAAACTGGATAAAACTAAAATTAAAATTGTAATTGATATGATTATAATATACCTAGATTATGCTTATGAGAATAGAAATGGGTGAAGAAGAAATAAAAATAAATTTTGTTGAAGTAGTATCTTTTGAATTTGTTTTATTTTATGTTGTTTTAAAGCACATTCAGTAATAAATGGTTTAAAATTTAGTGACCCCATCCTAGACCATACCTCAGAAGTTCAAGAACATGCATTAAATGTCTTTGGCCTTGAAAACATATAAAAATCTATTTATAGACACATGCAGTAACAAACATCTTTACATAAATAAAACATGTAATTTATACTTTTATTTTGGCATATCACATGACAGGGTACAAGGTGATGTCATGGGAAAAGACTCCCCTGGGAGCTGGCACAACAGAGCCCTGGTCCAGGCTCCCCACATTCACAGGAGACTGGAGGATATAGTACGACTCCAATCATCAGGCTCCCAACTAGTAGAACATGAAGGGGAGAAAGAGCCACCCAAGGATCCCTCATGGTTTTTTAATTATTTGATGCCAGGATTCTAAAAGTATTAGCTTTTTATCTGTTGCCTAGTCAGGGATAGCTTGAACTATAAGATAATGCTTGAACGATGCAGGGCCAGGAAGCAGAGACACTTACTTCAACAGATACTGATGTGGCACCTATTGTTCTATGTATTATGACCAATATGTAAAACATCTGCCCTCATGGAGCTTCCATTGTAAAGAAAGGGTGGACATAGGCAATAAACAAAACAAATAAAATATTCTATTGGTCACATGGTAGTAAGTACTATGGAAGAAAATAAATTGGAGTGAGCAGGTCAAAGTAAGAGTGGAGGGATCCCTGGGTGGTGCAGTGGTTTGGCGTCTGTCTTTGGCCCGGGGCGCGATCCGGGAGACCCGGGATCGAATCCCACGTCGGGCTCCCGGTGCATGGAGCCTGCTTCTCCCTCTGCCTGTGTCTCTGTCTCTCTCTCTCTCTCTCTCTCTCTCTCTCTCTCTCTGTGACTGTCATAAATAAAAAAAAAAAAACACAAAGTAAGAGTGGAGGGGATTCTGGCAATTTCAAATAGCACATTCAGGGAAGACCCTGTGGAAAGATATAACTGAACAAAGAAGGAGACGAGGAAGCAGCTCTGAGGACACCAGTAGGCATTCCCACTGGGGTGGGAAGCCACTGAGATATTTGAACAGAGGGATGACATGATGGACTTAACGAGCTAACAGGCTCACTCCGGCTGCTGTGTTTAGGGTAGAGTACAGTAGGACAACGTGGATGCAGGGAGACCAGTTCGGAAGCTACTATAATAATCCAGGTGGGAGGGTCACAGGAGAGATGGTGAGAGGTGGCTGCATTTGGATGTATGGTGAAAGGAAGAAGTTACAGGGTTTGCTAAAGAATTGGATTTGTGGTAATGAAGAGAAAAAGAGGAGTGAAAGCTAACTTCAAATTCTGGGTCTGAGATGGTAAAGACAGGAGAGACGGTAGGATAGAGGGGGTCATGGAAGAGGACCAGGAGTCTGCCTTGGGTGAGTCCCAATGCCTACTGGATATCAAGTGGCCATCTCAGTTAAGCAGTTGAGTAGACAAGTCTGGAACTAGAGATGAGGTTAGAGACTAGAGTTACAAATTTGGGAATTCATTATCGGTATAAAGAAAATTTAAATGATACTGAAGCCATGGACTGGATGGATCACTAAAAGAAACTGTGTCAATAGAATGGAAAAGAGATCCAAAGACTAGGAAGGAATCCAATGCTAAGAGTTTGAGACTTGAGCAGGATCCAGCCAAGGAGATGAGATGGAGTGGCCCGTCTTATTAGCTGAAGAAAATCCAGGAGAATGTAGTAGAAGCCAAGTGAAGAATGCATTTCAAAAGGGAGACATCATTTCTGGAATATCACTTGTTAGTGGTTGATTCTGCACTTGCAGAATTTCTATGGCAAGTAAGGATGTCATATGTATACACCAACTCCATTGAAGGATGTTTCTAATCACACCTAGTAAGGATAACATATTTGCATATATGTGTGTTGTATCATAATATTCGAAATAGAAATCATTTTTGGAACATTCCAGTATTTCTTATTTTCCATACATGTCCCCACCTCCATCATCACAAATGATTGTTTCTAATTGCTCTTTTGTTTGTTGTCTCATCTCATGGAAATGTTATCAAAATCAATGTGCTTACAAATGAAAAATAATATAATTCTCGGTCATATGGGTTTGCTATACAACACACTAAAAATCACTTCTATTTATTTAGAAATGTTGAATTTACATTAGATTATAGATGTGTAGTATTCTGGGAACTCGTGGCACATTGTAAAATGAAGCTGCTCTGTGAATGTATTCATTATAAGAACATGTTGACCACATTTTCTTCCTCAAACCACCTTCTATTCCAGTCCTGCCTAAGAAATCTGGCTTTCTTACTTCCTTAGGAGATAAAGCATTTTATTTAAATCACCTTTCCTAATAGCTGATCTAAGAGAAGAGGGAAAAGAAATAGATATAATTCACTGACAGCCTCAGGATATAGACATCCTGTCTCCATTCCTTTTAGCTTTTACTGGACATCAGGCTGCCATTCTAATAAGGCAACAAAGAAAAGTAAACAGAAATGAAAAGCAAAATAAATAGCAATCTTTATCCCACTGGAAATAACCATAAATCTACAAATGCAACCTTGGCTATATTGTGAAAGGATTTTCTTGGTCTGTTTGCATAGCTGTATTTTATTCTATTCTGAACTCATCTGGACTCTTTTTAAAGATTCTTATTATAAAAAAAAAGATTCTATTGTACAACAATCTTATTTACCCTAAAAATCTTTTGCAAAAAACATTTCTCCAGCAAATCATGCTGTATCTATGCCCTGTGGCATCATTGTGCATACCAAAACTATAGGTTCTAACCTATAGTGAAGAACAAGGTAGCATAATTCCTAAGACTTGTGTTTTAATAGGTTTACTGAGACCGAACACTAAATAGAAGTGATAGGGACAGCTTGTCCTGACAAATCTTTGACACTAGGTCACACATCCTACAAACCCATGTGCACCTTTCCCCACTATTGGTCTATTTCACAGTCTTCTTCTGGCACTATCTAATGAAAGCTATAAAAGGAGAATGTTTCCTTTCCATTACAACAGCAAAAAACATTCCAAGAATGAAGCCACAAAAATACCATACCACGTCACAGGTCCCATCTTAATAGTAGATCTAAAAGTAGTTAGCACCAGACCATAACATCAGGTCAAAGCAGAATTTCTGAAACCAAACTTTACTTAGACTTAACATCAAAATGTGATTATTATCACAAAAATATTGAAGTAAAAAATAAACAATTTCTTAAACCAGTTTGGTTTTTGATCTAATTGTTCTGTTACATTTATGTTTTATATTTTTGTATAAACTGTTCTTTTCTATTAGGTTGTAAACCCTAAAGATTAGGAATCAAAGTATCTTTAACTCCATTTTATCTATTCTAGCACAGGACCATAATGGAAGAGATATAGTCATTCTTTGATATTTACCAGAAATATTTACCTACTAAAACTGTCACCTGGTACAAACCTGCCAGGTATACAGTGAGAGTAGAAAAAAAGAGAAGATGATGGATTACCTATGTTTACTATACACTTAAAGATATCTAGATCCCCCTCATAGATAATGTTTCAAGTTTTGTTTTTTTTATTTAAATTCTAGTTAGTTAACGTACATACAGTGCAATGTTGTTTCTGGAGTAGAACTCAGTGGTTCATCACTTACATACAACATCCAGTGCTCATCACAAAAAGTGCCCTTCTTAATACCCATCACCCATCTAGCCCATCCCCCATCTACTTCCCTCAAGTTTCTTTTTTAATATATAAAGGAAGAATAAGATATTACTTTAACAAGTAACAGAAGCTTTCACTACTCTTTCAATCATTCAGTTTTTTCCCCAGCTTAAAAAAAAAACAAAAAAAAACAAAAAAAACACGAGCAAATCTCTCTGAAACTACTACATTATAAACTGTCACCAGATTTTGTTGAACTCCAATTGAAGATCCAAACTTAGGCCTGCTGGGCAACTTATTCTCAAAGGGGTAGAATTCTTAATGGTTCCACTTATTTTTCATATCAGAACTCAAAGAAAGTTCCTAAAAAGCCAATGATTTGTCACTGCCCAAGGGGAAGATCTTCCCAGCATTTCTAATTTCTTTAACTGAAATAAATTTTAAATTTCCTAATGACTGTGTTCCACCACCACAATTCTTTTTTTTTTTTTTTCAGGTACAGAGCAGTTGCCTCCTGGAGTCGTGTCCAGGGAATTGGGATTCCCTTGATCACTGCTATTGAGATAGTCTCCATCTGGATCCTTTCTTTTATCCTGGCCATCCCTGAAGCTATCGGTTTCGTCATGGTGCCCTTTGAATATAAGGGTGAACAGCACAAAACCTGTATGCTCAATGCCACATCAAAATTCATGGAGGTACGGAAAGTATAAAGGGAATTAAATGGCGGGAAGAGGAGGTCTTCATTTATACTTTACCATCACCAAGACTTGATATTTCGACAATGCCCAATGGGGTTTACTCCTCTTAATTCAGGCACGTAATCTTTAGCTGCATGAAAAGTACATGTTACAGGAGAGTTTAGCTTCTTGAATAAAACAAGACTCCACTGGGTGGCTCAGTGGTTCGGCATCTGCCTCTGGCTCAGGTCGTCATCCCAGGGTCCCAGGATCGAGTTCTGCATCACACTCCCTGCAGAAAGCCTGCTTCTCCCCCTGCCTGTCTCTGCGTCTCTCTGTTTGTCTCTTATGGATAAATAGATAACATCTTTAAAAAAAAAGAAAACTATTTTTCACTTTTATAGCACAATTGTAGACACAATTGTTGTTCTACATCAAACAACTCAGAATCTGAAACAAGCTACTCAGTGTTCACTTCAATAGCACATATACTGAAACAAACTTACTCAGAAAAAAAGATAGATGTGCTATTTGTTTTTATAATAAATAATACAGGGGATCCCTGGGTGGCTCAGCAGTTTGGCGCCTGCCTTTGGCCCAGAGCACAATCCTGGAGTCCCAGGATCGAGTCACATGTCAGGCTCCTGGCATGGAGCCTGCTTCTCCCTTCTCCCTCTGCCTGTGTCTCTGCCTCTCTCTCTCTCTCTCTCTCTCTCTCTCTCTCTCTCTCTCTCTTTATGTCTATTGTGAATAAATAAATAAAATCTGTAAAATTTTTTTTAAATAAAATTAAACATAAATAAATAAATAAATAAATAAATAAATAAATAAATAAATAAATCAGCACAACAATTTCCATCAGGTATGCTAATATGTATTTTATGTTACTTGGTGAAATGCACATTGCTCACACTTTTTAGAAGATAGATTTATTAACTTTAAGTAGGAAGCCATAATTACATGTACTTATAGTAGTACAAATTCTACATGTAATATACGAATAATATAAATTTGCAGAACTTTTTAAAAGGTGTTTTAGTTTAACAAAATCAGCTATTGTTTGGGCAGCCCCGGTGGCACAGCGGTTTAGCACTGCCTGCAGCCCAGGGCATGATCCTGGAGACCCTGGATCCAGTCCCACGTCAGGCTCTCTGCATGGTGCCTGCTCTCTCTCTCTCTCTCTCTCTCTCCCTCTCTCTCTGTTTCTATGAATAAATAAATTTTAAAAAATCAGTTATTGTTTAATACACCTGATCATCTTAATGTTTCTCTGTAAAGTTTAATTATATAACTAAGTGTATTGGAAAGCATGTTGAAAATGCATATTTCCTTTGCCAAACTAGTCAAATGTGGACTGAGGAGAAAAACCAAATGGATAACTACTTCTCTTAAATCAGCATAATTTAGTGCTTTGATGTAGGTTTCATGCAGCTCAGATTCCACATTTAATCATTTACAGACATTTTCAGGTATGTTTTCCTAACTTGGAAAATTCACAAAATTAGTGGTTTTACATTTGACCAGTTTTCCTATTTGGAAATTCGTATTTTAAAATTTAAAGTGCTGGGATGCCTGGGTGGCTTGGTGGCTTAGCAGTTAAGTGCATCTGCCTTCAGCTCAGGGCGTGATCCTGGAGTCATGGGGTCGAGTCCCACATTGGGCTTCCTGCATGGAGCCTGCGTCTCCCTCTGTCTGTGTCTCTGCCTCTCTCTCTCTCTCTCTTTCTCTCTATCTCATGAATAAATAAATAAAATCTTTTAAAAAAATAAAATAAAATTTAAAGTGCTCATGAAAACTGCCACACTGGCAACGTTAAAATTAAGGTATTCTGTTTATCTACTGACCTTTTTATTAAGTCAATCTCCATAGTGAAAAAACAAAGTAGATAATAGGAGATTATTAGAATTTGGACAGTGAGAATAATCAATCTGGATACTCCTGAATAAATGAAGTGTTGCAGAGAAGAGGCTCAATATGGAAAGGAGCTTACTAATCATTCAAACTAGATAAACTGAAATGGGCTCTTTCGCAAACTGAGTCTCCCTTATAGAGCGGGCAAGCAAAGGCTGGCTGGCTACTGTGGGCGGTTTCAGTAAAAGGTGTGAGTTTAAACTGATCACTTTCTATACTCAATTTCAAGTCAGAAATTTTAAGATTCTTTTTCTCCTCCTGTTCTTTTTTTTCCCCTCATTTTATTCCCCAGTTTGTGTTCCATTCTTTGCTCCTCAGCTTTGCTCTAGCTTTAGACGAGAGGGAGGTCCCTCCATACCCGGGCTGATGACATTAGTTCAAAAGAAATGTGTGACCCCTTTCTCTACAGGCCTCTGCCATGGAGGGGGCAGGGGACTCCCGCAAGACCCCTCGGGGGTCAGCTTCCAGGCCCTCTGCAGCTGCTTCTGGGACATTCACACCAGGTCAGCAGTGCATCTGGAAGACAGGGGTACAAGTGAAGGGAGTGCTCAAAGGAGTGTTTGTGTGCACTTAAAGAAAGAGTTGGGTTTTTGTCTGTTTTTTGGTTTTTAGTTTTTGACTTCAGTACTAAAATCTTTCTATAGTGTGATGCGGAGAGGGGGAAATTTATATGAATACATCTGAGTAAACCAACTCCCTTAGTAGTCTGCACTAACCTTAGAATAGAATTCAGGGGTCTATGAACTTAAATGGAAAAGAAATTACATATTTATTTTCATTAACTTCTGACTGAAATTTATCATTTCCTCCTCTTATGAATGTAGGCAACAAACCACAATCATATTTAACAGGACCATTTTGTTTCCACTAATAGAAATAATAGACATTTTCATATCACAAAAATCAGATAATCTTGAAATATCATTTATGGTCATCACTGTTTCAACTTATGATGGTTATTAGAACCTCCATTAAATTTTTAATTTAATTTGTTAATAAACACCTATATTACCATATCAGAATTTTCTTTTTAATATTTCAGTAGCTGTGTTTCAATGTAATTGGTTACCACTGTAATCTTATTTTATCTTATGCATAGAGAAGTGTTATTCACAGGAAGGATTACAGTCCAGACATCCAAAGGGATCCATGGCATAAGAGCAGTTAAGAACCTCTGCCTAGAACTTTTTTTCTTCAGGAACCATTTATAGATTATTTTAATAGACATGTTACAAATGTAGCCTACTGGGCCTCTTTCTATATTCAGCAACTGTCCAGTTTTTCACAGAGCAGCATGATTATTTTTTACTGTGGGAACTGAGATGATACAGGAGACTGCATTATCCTTCGTAAATAAACAATCTGGAGAAAAAGCATAAGGAAAGCATTTCTAAGTTGGTGATTAATTTAGCAGGAGGAAGAATGTAGATATAATTTCCATTTTTATAGGGCACTAAATTTTCTCCTTTAAAAAGACATAAAACTGAATAATCCTCCTATTTACAAATCCTGCCCACAGGGAGATAATGCTAACTATGCCTGCAGATAAGATACTCTGCTTCAATAGTTTCCAGGTGGTAAGTATTCAAAGAGTGAGAAAGGGCATGGTTATTGATGGCTCAAACTGGCTGGCTGTGAGGTCACATAGCAGGCATACCAGGCAAAGGGTTAACTCCCAGTTACCAAAGCTACACAGATAAGCCATTCATAACCTTCGCTATTGCCAAACAAAATTCACAGAAAGTACACTTAACCACAAGAGTCCAAAGGAAACCAGGCACTAGCAAAATTTTGAGGCTCATCAATAAGAAAAGATAAATACATATTCTGTGTATCTCAAAATCCTGCTTTATGAGTTTTAGAAGGGAATTCTTTTTCTTGATTAGGGCTCTCCCATTGTATAATTAAAACCAGCTTTGGTTTATAAAAAGTATCTTTGTCGGGATAATTTATTTTTAAGTGCAATGCCTTTGGGTGCTTTTACAAATCCAGGATAATTTTTGGAGCTTCCAGATTAACTGAGTGTTGAGCATCACCCACAAGCCCTTTGCCACAACCAGAGAGCGTGAACATAGAAACAGACCAGCAAGCATGAAGATTTTGAAGCTACTAGAGGCACTGCCCAGTAAATTTAGATTATAATGCCCCTCTTTTCTCTCCCTTTTCTTCACCTACAGTTTTACCAAGATGTAAAGGACTGGTGGCTCTTTGGGTTCTATTTCTGTATGCCTTTGGTGTGCACTGCAATCTTCTACACCCTTATGACCTGTGAGATGTTAAATAGAAGAAATGGCAGCTTGAGAATTGCACTCAGTGAACACCTTAAACAGGTAAACCTAGTAAGATCGTGAAAAGTTGGCCATGACTGATTTGTCCCAGACAACAGAAAGCCCATATTAAATACTGGGTTTGGCAGATTTAGTGTGGTTTCCTAAAAATAAAAATAAAAAAAATAAAAATAAAAATATTGTCTTATAACCGTTTTCTTTATAGTTATAATATTAGAAATTTCTTTTATGAATGTGGAGAGCCTGCTTGTATAACAGGTGGCCCTGGAGGCAGGGCTAAATAGAGATCAACTAATCTCTTAGTTTGCCAAGAGTATATTAAACATGTGTGTTTGTGTGTCTGTGAATTGAATTGGGCTTGGAACTGTGCCATAATACAAGGAGGCATATGACTTTCTCCCCAAGCAGGCTTTGCAGTCTTGCTGTGCAAATAAAATACGAACATGAAACAATTGGAAAACAGAATCACAGGGTATGGTAACAGTAGCCTATGTCGTGGAAAACCAAGGAAAATGTAACACAAAGTCACAGAGACACTTGTCAGAGAGACCGAACTGTTCATAAAGGATAAATGGGTTTGATGAGGAAGAAGAAGACAGGGCATTTCAGGTGGACAAGAGTCCAGTTAGGACATGGCATAGGCCATGCATTTGGGGAGTGGGAAAAAGAGATCAAACTCATTAGAGAAACATCTAAGGTAAGACTTATGATAGGAAATAGGATTGACTACAGAAAAAGAGGTCAAATTTTGGAGAGTCCCCAAATTGTACATATCAGTAGGAAGCTGATCTTGGTTCCCACACCCCCCTCCCAGGTAGCAAACAGAACAGATACACCCGTGGCTTAGAGGAAAAATCTTTACACTTATACTTGCTGGCTCTGTGATGTTGGGCAAATTGCTTAATCTCTCTGAACCTCTAGTTCTTCATAAAATGTCTATAATAATGCCTGCATCTTTCTGTACAAATATTGGTTCAATTTTAAGTCTTACAAAATTAAATGTATAAAATAATACATCAAGGCAATTACTTAATGCATGTACAGTGCCTCTAGTGCCTAGAGCCCAACTCATAGTAAGTACCCAGAAAATATTTGACATGTATTAATTCAAAGAGTAAAACTAGAACTACAAGTAAGTTCTCAGTCTCAACAGAGTATATAAGAACACACAACCACACCAAGTTAATGAGTTGCTGATGGCACCTGTAAATCTGCCCTATACAATTGCCATACACAAGCACCATTCTTCATCATGACTCCTTTCAGATACTGTACTAATTTTTCTGAGCTTCAGCTTCTTATCTGTAAATTGGGCATAATAGTATATGAATTGATATTACCACAGAAATAAAGGAATTAAGTGCATACGTGTACTTTGTAAAATCTAACATGCCATACAAATCGTAGCTATTATCTTTTATTAAAATTTAACTGAAAAATCATATTGAGAAAATTTAGTATGACTTTGTCCAGGCATGAATGTTTCAAGTGCTCCAGATGTGAAATATATCAAGAAATTATTGCCTCTCCTACAGGGGAGGTAATTAGTCAGAATAGATTTGCAAAAAATAAAACTAATGTTTTTCAGTGTTGAATTTTTCATTGGTACCATGATTGAGCCTGTTTAAGCTATAAAAGTTACCTGCTCTGAAAATATTTAAATAGGGACTGGTCGCGATAATAACAGGATGCTGCTTCACATTTACATTGCATTTTTTAAGTCTCTGAAGAGCATATCATCTGCTTATTTGATTCCTCCAAGCACCCTGTCTTATAGACAGGACAGGCTTCCCTATACAGTTGATTATCAAAATGGAGATCAAAACCAAAGTCTTCGTCCTATGAAGGATTGCATAGTGTCACACCCAAAGCTGTAACAGATTCTAACAGCAGGAGAGCAAGCCTGGCTGGATGGCCTTCCATTGGGGCTGTGGGGACCTAAGTTCACAGGGAAAGGCCCTGCCACCCTTGGACTGTATGGCTCTATATGGACTATATATGGTATATATGGACCATATATGGACTATATACAGCTCTATGTGGATTATATATATGGCTCTCTGTTTTGCTTTCTGAGTGGTTTTCTCAAATTTCTCTTCATTATTCTGACAACAACTTTTATCAGTTAGGGTTTGTGTTTGGATACTGGTAGTGGAAAACCCAAAATAACATAGAGTAAAACAAGTCGAGGTTTCTTCTTTCTCTCACAGCAAAAAAAAATCAGATGTCACTGGTTCAGTGCTCAAGGGACCCAGAAGCTAGGGCTCTGCTGTTTTGCTGACTTGTCCTTTAATTTTGGAAGACAGAAGCTACAGCTCTACCTTTATATCAGATTTCCAGGCAGCAAAAAGGGAAAGAATATAGAACACATTAGTGTGTGTGCATCAGAGGAATATCCTCCACTGTTTAGTAGCTTTTCCAGAAACCTCACACAACAATCTCTGCTTGATCTCAGTGGTCAGACTGTCAGGTGGCCATGCACAGATGATTAGCCTAAACTCCCCTGCTGCAGTAACAAAATCAAGGATCTGACTGATAGTAAGGAAAACAGGAGAATAGATACTGGTTAGGCAAATACCAGACCGCCATGGCAACATATTAATATTACTTTTTGAAGGATCATCCACTTTGAGGATGTACTCAAGGGGAATCACCTCTCCCCCAGTCCCCTCCTTTTCTCTTTTTCTGGTCATATTGTCTTTTCAGTGTCTTTCAGCACAAAAGGACCCTTTAAAATGATCCTCTGTTCCTACAGATTGGAACTCTATTTTCTCAATCATTGCTCAGCTTGTATGTTCTCTGAAGCCATAGCCCAGCTATCCCACCCAATAACTCTGAAAGATTAAAAAAAAAAAAATTCCAGTCCTTTGGGCTAGAGCAGCAATTTGTGACAACTGCCTTGAAATCTTTTTAAATGGCTCTATTAATCATGTGGGTTTATTGCAGGCTTCCCATACTTAAGGCTATATGCTTTGGGTTGAACCAGCATTTCCCTTCCAAATCCTGTTTTCAATCAATTTTATTTTGACATTAACTGATCCCAGTTACAGATAAGTTGCATTTTATGTTCCTAGTTAGGCTTTCAAATGCATGCATTGTAGTAGTCAAGCATGATGCACACAAATGACTGGTCTGGTTGCAGATAATTCCTAACCTATGATTTTTCTGGTCCTACACAAACTCTCAAGTATGTAAACCTTCAAATGGAAGTCAGTCCAGGGTCAACATGTCCCAGTTCTTCTAATCATCATTGCTGATAATGCTTTACCCTCATCCCTCTGTTTGCAAACAAGATGTCTTTGGAAGCTACATGTCATTAGTAAAGGAATTTTAAAAGCAAAAAACTCCCAATGCTAGCTTTCTTCAACATCAAGAAATGGAGAAAACACATTCTATTGGCTTTTTCTCCTCTATTTTCTACTTCTATTTTCCAAATACCTTTGTGGATTTGTTCATTCTTTATTATGCTAGGTTCAGTCACCTTGACTGCCATGCTGTCATTAATGCTAGTTATGCATTATTGAGGCTTTTAGCTAGCCCTTTCCTCCTTATACACACACACACATACACACACACACACACACACACACACACACACACTCAGCCCCAGTGTTGGCTCAGCAACAGCCAGTTCCCATTTTCCTGACTTCGAACTTCTGTCCTGACCCTAAAAACCAGCTTGAGGCCACCATCCTTCCTGGCAGCTGCCCAAAAGAATCATTAGCAACTCCTTGATTAGAAAGTTGGACTCCAAATTGTGAAGAGATGGAGGCACCATGAGGCATGCTGCTCTGGCTCTTTATAAAGTAATTCTTTCTCTGCTATCTACGACTTCCTTTGTATAGTTCTTTCCTCTGGTAGAAAAACACTAAACTTACTGTACTTTTTTCCCTCTCACTTTCCTTTAGCGTCGAGAAGTGGCAAAAACAGTTTTCTGCTTGGTTGTAATTTTTGCTCTTTGCTGGTTCCCGCTTCACTTAAGCCGTATTTTGAAGAAAACCGTGTACGATGAGATGGACAAGAACCGATGTGAATTACTTAGGTACGGTCCTGTATACTTGTTAGGAAATCAGAGTTTCTCTGATTGTCATACTGATAATACTTTTACAAAACCATCTAAGTCTACAGTCTCGTTAGGCCTGAAAATTAAAACTGCAAAGTTGATTATTTTTCTTTAGCTGACATAGCCCGTGACTGATCCTAAAGTTTGTGCAAGCCCTATCTGTAATTTTGTGGCTCCCCCCCTGAGGCTGTGCATGATGGTTTGAGCTAACCAAGTGGCAAGAATATCAGTAAATGTTCTGCAGAAGTGAAACTGCCACTTAAACAAGCACTTTAAAAAAATTCTGACTGCCACCTATAAGAAATGGCTCCCGGGCAAGAAAAATGCTTCTTCTAGGGATAAATGCTAGTTAGCAGATTTAAAAACATTGTCTTCTAATTATTCCACACTTTTCTTTTGTTCTAGTTTCTTGCTGCTCATGGATTACATCGGTATTAACTTGGCAACTATGAATTCATGTATAAACCCAATAGCTCTCTACTTTGTAAGCAAGAAATTTAAAAACTGTTTCCAGGTAAGACTGCTTTGCACATATTTTTTAAGGACAACCAAGTGAATATATTAAGTAGGAAACGAGCATGGCTAATTCTAGTAGAGAAGTGAAACTCATATTTTGTTACCCAGAAAGAGGGTCAGATTGTCAGCATAAAGCTATATTATGAGAAAAAATGTCAGAAAAGCAATACCAATTCAGACAACACAATATTCATAGGTTCAATAAAAAGAACTATGTTAATTTAGTACGCTGCTTTAAAAAGAAGTGCTCAACTATGGAGTCCAGGCTCCAGAGAATACATACAACCTGGTCATGCCTCACATTATCTTAGACGTTAACCATAGCTTCAACAAAACATAAAGTGTGTCATTAAAAAGAGATATTGCTAAACAATAGTATATTTAATAATAGCCTCTTCAAGGAAAGTAAATGCTGATAGCCCTGGCAATCTGAAATAATGTATTTTCATTTAAAAATCCTTCTGTTCTTCAGACTTCCTTACAGCTAAACCAACCCATGTCCTTTAGAAGCTCCATGTACTTCTTCCTGAAGTATCAACTCTCCAGTTCCTGGGATAATTATGGAGTTAATCCTAACTGGATTTTGTTATCGTTGGCCAGGATGTTTCACTTCAATTTACGGCACATAATAGGAATTATAGTATAGAGGTCAAGGATGCAGGATCTAGAAGCAAACAATCTTGATTTACATCACAGCTCTGTACTCACTGCCTAACCCGGGTCCAGTTGGTACTCCTACAGGCTCCTCAGTTTGATCATCTGTAAGATCAGACAATCACTGTATGTGATTGGTAGGTAGGTAGGATTCAGTGGGTTAATATATGTTAAGCACTTGAGACAATACTAAGCTCTCAGTATGAGTTTACTATCATTATTATGAGGGATAGAGAAGAGAGGAAAAACACAGTGGCTGCCCTCATGGAACTATCTAGAAGGAGACAGTATATTAGCTAAAAAATCTTACAAATCGATGAATCTTGGTATGGAAGTTATAGTTGTTACCCTTTTGAAGTCTACGTGATAATGTTTACAAGTCATGATGTGCTCTAACAAAGATTCTGCCCAAAGAAGCGTTGACTAAAATGCTGGTCAAAACTAATACATCATATAATCTGGAGTTAATATCATTTTATTTAATTTACATATTAATTACAGGGGAAGGGAAAATCAAGGTACAAACTCTCAGAAATTAAACATATCTTTTGATCTTCATTCAAAGGCAGCATATGCAGGAGAACAGAGCTTAATCTAGAGGGTCCTGGATTCTAATTCCAATTTTGCCTATTTGCCCTCTAAGACTTCCTGTCCTCATTAATAAAATGAGGAAAATAGCACCTACCACCTAAGGCTGTTAGGAGCATCAGATGAGCTGCCCAATGCAGAGAGCCACATAGTTGATGCACACTGCAGAAATGCCAGGCCCCTCTGGACCCTTCTCCACGCATGCCTACCCCAAGTTATAGGACATGCTCCCTTGGGCCAACAGTGCCTTCCCTTCTTCTTTGATTTGGTGAATAAATTAAACAAGAAATAAGGCATCTATTTCTCATCACTAGAATGGACAGTTTAACTTCTACCTAGAGAATACAGGCTCCATACTTTAGATTACCATTCAGGTTCACATTCTGTCCTCAGATTTTGTTGGCAGGAGCCAAATGGGTTGGTAGGCTCCTTTATTTAGAATCTATTCTTCTTCCAGTCTTGCCTCTGCTGTTGCTGTTACCAGTCCAAAAGTCTGATGACCTCGGTCCCCATGAATGGAACAAGCATACAATGGAAGAACCATGAACAAAACAACCACAACACAGAGAGGAGCAGCCATAAGGACAGTATAAACTAGACATCTTAAGAAACATTAATCAATATTCCTTCAAATTCTATTGGAGAAAAAAATCACACAGCAACTGTGTTTCCAGAAATCTTTTCTCCAGTCCTCCCGTGACTCAACCCCTACCCCAGAAAAATTCTTTCCAAAACATCGGAGGGTGGACCAGTTTATAGTCACAAATTCAATGAATCTTACTACTTTAATTTATCTAATTTACATAATCTGCATGTTATATTCAGCACTAAAAAATGGTGGGAGTTGTTAGGGGAAAGAAGACTGGTCGATTAAATCAGAAGGATATTTACTAGTTTTGGATGAAAATAGAGTCTTCGAGTACATAACAGCTTCTATGGCAGTTCTGTAGAATGTTCAATGGGAACTGGTCACCATGAAAATTTAGGGATTATGACAAGGTTTTCTATGTTTTTTTATTGGCCAGACACGGTAGCATGAGCAATTACATTAATGTTTTTCATGTCACTTTTTTATTTTTAAAACATCAGTTCTCAAGCTGCAACAAATACAGGCACTTAAAGAACATACTCATATCCACATGTGGCAGTTTAATAGCTGCCATTCAAAGAATTTTTAAGAACCTGTATTTTCTTTTGTAATAGTGTTTCATTATAGAGATCTGGAACATATTTTTATGTTAAATTTTAAAATAATGCTTGAATCAGATAGTTCTATTTTTCATAAGCCCAATATTTTTTAATGTAGTTAGATATTCTATGTAAAATCAGTATCAGGCACCAAAATTTAAATGTAAGTATCATTCAACTATACCCAAGACTTCAGTGGAATGTATTGACATGTAACTCACACCTAGTATAAAAAGACTAAATACTTTCTAGATTTGGAAATTTTCATTGAGATTTTTTTGGTAATACTAACATGTATGTGTGTATATGCATATATATGTACAAATACATGTATGTATATATGTACACACATATATATGTTATACATATCATTTCATATTCTTTTGATCTCTCTTAAAATGTTAGCTGTCGTTAAGACTTTTTTGGTCATTTCCTTTTCCATATAAGAAACAATTTCAAAGTGGCCAGCTGAGTTTATCATGTCAGTGAGATAAAATTACTCCCAAATGCCACCATGAATTTACAGTTCTTCACTTCTCTGGGTTTCCAGTATGACTCTAAGCACCTCTCCCACCCCCACTCCTCACACGGTCTCCATTTCAAAGGGCCCACAATGACTTTTGCTGGGCATGTTCCAAGATGTTTACAGACTGTGAGTACAGCAGAAAACCTTTAACTGTGTGTATATAAATATATATAAACAACTGTACATTTCTTTTAGCCAATTTTTCTGTAATTGTCTTTATGGAATGTACCTGTGTGTGTGATAGATGCATGGGTGTGATGGTATGTATGGACTTGATATAATCTAATAATAATGCCCTGTAGTCGTACCACAGCATACACTCTAAAGTGGTTGTTTATCATGACAACTGGCCTTAGTCAGTTTTAATCTGTGTTCATAATTCTTGTGAACATGTCACCATTACAAATGGACTATGGGAGGCAGCATGAATGGGATAAGCCATGGGTTAACAATAGTGTTTATTTAGCTGGTTGGTTGGTTGGTCTGATAAAACAGCATTTGGGGTTGTACTTTTTCCTGTGCTAGAGCAAAAGTCATTAAATGTTGAAGTATTATATTGTCCTGGTCCCTCAACTCAATAACTCAATATGCTGACGAGACTGACAAGAGGTCTGATGTTTCCTATCAGACTTCACCAGAAAGATTGCTAATGATACATTAGCTAAGCTGATTTGTTAGGCTATATTTTAGCATGGTCACATATAAGTGATATCAGGTTCCAGTTGATCCAATTGCAGGGCTCCTTTACGTGTTAGCTGTTGAATACCATAACTTAACTGGTGCATCACGTACAATGATATATACCTATAATATTAAGCCATAGTTCACATCATTTTGTTTAGACAGTTGTCTTCTTTTTTAAGATAGTTTGTCTCCTGCATATGAAAAATGCATTTTACAAGTTCAGAAAGCCATAGGTTTCTGAATAACACACAGGCTTCAATGCACATTTTGTTTATGGACCAGTAAAAGGATTTTTTCCAATTTCTGCCTTTATCACATCGTTCCAAGTAAATCTGTAGAAGTGAGCCAGAAGCCAAGGCCCCTGCATTGGCAGTGGCCCATAAGTATGAAATAAAAGTTTACAGAAGCCTTACAAGTGTCTCTTCATTTTTACATAGTTCTACATAGGAAATGTTGATTACGTGATGCCTATTGCTAACCTCTCCCTAGTAAGAGCCCAGCAAGCAATTTTACTTTCAAACAGATACTTCCTAACTGTATTCTATTCTCAACCTACTTTGTTATACTGAACACTTAACACTTTCATTCATTCTTTAATTCACCTTTCCAGTATATTTTACTAAGCATCTGCTTTGCACCATTCTTCTAGGTACTGGGGACACAGCAATAAACAAAACAGGCAAAGTTCCTGCTCTCATGGAGCTGGCAGTCTAGAGGAGGGAGCTGGATAATAAACAATGCATCAGGTGGATACCTGGAGGAAGAGACTCATATATATCCAAGTGCTTATTTGACATCTCCAACTGAATGGCTAACAGACATACTATATCTAAAACTAAGCTACTCATATCTCTCTAACCTGCACTGCCCTACTGTTCCTCTGCTCGTGTATTAATCAAGGTTCTCCAGAGAAACAGAACCAACAGGACATATAGATAGATAGATGATAGCTAGCTTGCTAGATGGCTAGAGAGAAAGAAGAGGAAGTTTATTATGGGAATTGGCTCACATGATCATGGAGGTAAAATATCCCATGAGTTTCCATCTATAAGCTGGAGAACCAGGAAAGACAGTGATATAATTCAGTTCAAGTCCAAAGGCTTGAGAAAAACAGGGGAGCCAATGGTATAACTCCCAGTCTGAAGCCAAAAGCCTGAGAACCATGGAGCAGCTTGCTGGTATAAGTCCCAGAGTCCAAAGGCCCAAGAACTAGGAGCACCAAAGTCCAAGGGCAGGAAAAGATGGATGTCACAAGTCAGGAAAAGACAGAGAAGTCGCCCTTTCTCCACCCTTTTGTTCTTTTCAGGCCCTCTATAAATAGATGATGCTGAGTAGATTTGCTTTACTCAGCCTCCTGATTCAAATGTTAATCTCTTCTGGAAATACCCTCATAGGCATACCCAGAAGTAATATCTTACTAGCATTCTTTCTGGGTGTCTCTTGGGCCAGTCAAGTTGACACATAGCATTAACCATCAAAGTTCAGTTAAAGACAGCTTCATCCTTTGAGCTGTCCAGATGAAAACCTTGAGGGACACCCAGGTGTGGTTGAACGTCTGCCTTTGGTTCAGGTCATGGTCCCAGGACCTGGGACCAAGTCTCACATCAGGCTCCCTGTTAGGAGCCTGTTTCTCCCTCTACCTATGTTTCTGCCTCTCTGTGTGTGTCTCTCATGAATAAATAAAATCTTAAAAAAAAAAAAACCTTGAAGTCATTGTCCATTCTTTCTCTTATATCCTATAATCAATGCCTCAATATATCCTGACAGCCCTGTCTTCAAAATAGATTCCTAATTTTTTTTAAGATTTTATTTATTTATTCATGAGAGACACAGAGAGAGAGGCAGAGACATAGGCAGAGGGAGAAGCAGGCTCCACGCAGGGAGCCCGATGCAAGACTCAATCCCGGGACTCCAGGATCACACCCTGAGCCAAAGGCAGATGCTAAACCACTGAGCCACCCAGGGATCCCCAAAATAGATTCCTAATTTGACCATTTCTCTCTCTCTGCCTCTACCTCCCTATTCTGAGCCACCAACACCTCTTGCCAGAATAACCACAATAGGCTTCTATTATGCCTACTTGTTTCCAGCCTTGTAAATACTATACTCTAATTGAAGTCTGTCCCTTGACCCCCATAAATGGTCTAAAGGTATTCACATTTCCAAGCTAGCTTGACCAGCTCTCCTGGGGAGTTTTCCAATAACAACTAAAGTAGGAAAGAGCCCTTTCCCACTGTGGTACACTGGGTAGGACATGAGTCTGGGAGCTGTTAGCCACCATGGTTTGGCCACTATGAGTAAAGTAAACCTAGAGTGTTACAAAGATGGAAAAGGGCATATAAGTTCCTGGTGCCAGTTTTCCCTGATGCATTCCCATGGTTTGAGTAAGGGAACTAACATATTTACCTTTCTTCCTATGCTAATTAAACTTGGTTTTTCATTGCTTCCAATACATACATTCCAAGAACATCTCATCTAAACTATCTTGATTTATCTTTCCTTATTGCTGAAATTAAGAGACTTTATGTTTTTTAGAGTTTTAGTTTATTTATTTATTCATGAGAGTTGAGTGGAAAGTACAGAAAATTCCCATATGCCCTCATTTTCCCTTTCCCTACAAAGAGTTCTCCAGGGCTGCTGGGTGGCTCAGTTGATTAAGCATCTGCCTTGAGCTGTGGTCATGATCCCAGGGTCTGGAATGGAGCCATGCCATTGAGCTCCCTGCTCAGTGGGGAGTCTGCTTCTCCCTCTCCCTCTGCCCCTCCCCGCTGCTTGTGCCCTCTTGCTCACATTCTTTCTCTTCCTCACACTCTCTCTCTCAAATACATAAATAAAATCTTTAAAAGAGAGAGAGAGAGAGTTCTCCCTATTATTTCCCTTTTGTGTTAGTGTGATATATGTGATGAACCAGGATTCATACAGTATTATTAAATAAAGTGCATAGTTTACATTGGGGTTCACTGTGTTGTACATTGTATGGATTTTGATAAATGTATAGTGACAGTTATCCACCATTATAGCATCATTCAGAGTAGTTTCACTGCCCTAAAAATCCCTTGTGCTCTACCTTTTCTTTCCTCCTTCCTTCTCCCTCTTGGTTCATCTCTTCACCCAATATAAATATAGTGAACATCCTCCATCATTATGCTGTGTGAGTTGCTGGAAATACAATACAAGATGTATAAATAAATAAATGCTCTGAAGTGCTTAGTGATGACTCAGTAGATGTCGGCATAGGGGCCAATAAAGGCACAAAGACAAAGTAGTCAAAATTCTTTCAACTTCAGCTGGTGACATTAGTGAACAAACACAGTGTGACGACGGTTCTTGCTTCTACAATTCTTATTTTAACGCAAAAATATGTCACTGCCTGGAGAATGGCATAATAAAAAGCGATATACTATTGACTCTACCTTATGAACTTGTTTAAGCCTGTAAACACATGTTATTCTCCATTCAAAAATAAACCTAATATCAGTGCATTTAAAATTATTAAAGTAATGAAACAAATTGGAGATTAAGCCAGGAAATAGCCAAGACAAATATGAGTCTTTGCTAGCCTATTATCTATATCATTATTTTTAATAATATTACTAGTCTATAATATAGTATTAAACAATATATACCAGTATACAATACTACCAGTATTCCCAAGCCTCTCTAGGCCTGAAATTCTGAAACTACAATTCCTTCATTTGTAACATAATCAAGTACAGCACTCTATTGTTTTTTCTCTATATCTCAAAAAAGCAAAGTTAAATCAGGGCACAAGTCCACCATATGCAGTTGTCTCTGAAATTCCAGTGGGGTCTTCATATTGAAAACCATTCCATGTGGTTTTTTTGTTTTGTTTTTGTTTTTGTTTTTAGTAATCTTACATTTTGGAGAAGTTTTGTCACACTTTCCTCTAAGTAGTTACAAAGACAAGCTAGTGTCTATATTTGGTCAGCACTGATACTCTGACTTTTTTTGTTTCCAAAACTGAAAGGAGAGGCCACAGTTCCTAGAACCAGGGAATAATCGAGAACCAAAAATAACACTGTAACTGGAAAGCTAGGCTTTCCCCATAAAGCAAACTAGCATGGATCACTTTTGATTTGATGAAGCCAAAAGTCCTAATATTCCATACTCCCCCCGCCCCCGCCCGAGCTTTTAGCATCAATGTTATTTGGTAGATTTCTTTGTTTCTTCCTCATAGGTAATAAATTAGGAACAACGTTGCCAAACCTAGGTATAAGAAGAAGAATCATGGAATCTCCTGAGGGAACATAGAGTATTCCACAAATTTTTCCTTTTTGGCCTTAAACCACAGTCCTCTCTTAATTTATCTACATGGAACTGATCATCTTTCATTTTAACTTGATTCTATGATAGATACAATTGTCTACTTGGTGCTGTGTGACAGATTTGTCCCAGAAGGGAGACAGTATGTAGTAATGTCTGCTGCCCAGACTGCGTAGCAGTCTGATACGGTCAGCCAAATCACAGGCCCCAGTGCCCAAGGGCACAGCTCTGACTTACTCCACTTAGGCAATTTTTACAGAATAAAGCCATTTCTCTATGAACGTCAGCTCTAGTTCTCCCAAAGTGTGACAATTGAGATTAACTACAGTTAAATACTTCTGGGTTTTTTTTATTATCTTGAAATGAGAAAATCTACTGAGTATGATCAGGTGAAGGGAACATGTGCGTAAATGTATTTTTTAATGTATAATGAAAAGCTGGTCTCTCAGATCCAGTCTTTACTTTATGAAACCTAATGGAGTTAGACCTGGATCACTGCTCTTCATTTACAATCAACACCTGGTTGGGAGGGATGGATTTTTGCTGACCAGTTCAGGAAAAACAGGGCCAAATGGGCTGGGATGGAGGTTAGGATAACTTCCCAAAGGAAAACCCACATGGCCTTAGAAAGGGGAAGGGAGAAGAACTACATCACTTCCTTTCTTCATCTTTGAGGATATTGTACACATATCCTGCTACTCCTTATCTCTGCTGTTTTTTCACATTGTTAGCATAGTTAATTCTTCAACTTTTAGTACTTTCTTTAAAAAGAATTTTTGCTCTTTAAATTATAAAAATAACATACAAAATAGATCTGTAATATATTTAAAGCCCTCTTAGAACAAAACAATAATTAATGAATAATCCATGTATTCAAGGGCAGGAAATCTTTGTACATGAAACTTTAAATACAATATAAGATATATTTAAATACATTATACTTACATATGTATCTTACATTTATGTAATCCTTGTGCTACCATAAACAAGGCTACATTGTACTTCTTTATACAAGTCTTCTTGGAGATTTGTGTGATTTCGCTGGGACAAGTAAAGAGGAGTAGGATTGCTGCTGGATCACAGGGATTTGCACAGTTAATATCTTTGCATACTGCCAGATTGTCCCCACCAGGTCTGGGTGGAGCCATTATTATTTCAGGGCTTGGGGTGCCTTGCAACTAACTGCTCCACTTTACACTGGCAGGTAGCATATACCTTTCAGCATATGTACAGATGCTGTTAGAGATCTGACCACATCCTCCTGGATCCCTTGTACCAGCTCTGTTCACCCATCCCTAGCTTCGTTGTTTTTGGTACTATTTGCAACTGCCCTTGGAGCCCCCTAACTTATAAGGAGAAGAGGAAGTGACTGGGAATTTTATGTCCACCTACAACCCCCACCATGACCTGTGGACAACAAATTACTGGTGTGAGAGTACAAAAGTCCAGCTCTTATGCCTCAGGTGGGGCTGGCACCAAGAACCCCAGGAGATGGGGCTGAGTCTACAACTTCTGAAAGCTCATCTTTCACTATGGCCTGGAAACTCTCTGAGCAGTAAGTTTCAGGCAGTTGTAGGGCTTACCTCCTCTGTTTTCCTTCACTTTTCTGAACTACGTTTTCCCAAGTCTGCTTCTAAGCCCATACTGGTTTCTTCTTCAGGGGCTGTGCCTCAACAAACCAATTACCCACAAATCCTTGGCTTGAGCACTGCTTCTGGAAGAAGCTAACCAAAGACAGCACATTTTTCATTACACTGATGAATATGATTCACAAGTTCTGACAATGAACATGTTATATTCTTTAGCACACTGAATTGGGGCTCATATTTGAAATTACACTTTTAATTTCTCCTCTGGGACATCTTAGGATGTATGAGCTCTTCCTACTAATTGGTAGTCCAAATTTCCTCATCCAACTTTTGTCCCATTTGCTATGAAAGAGCATGGCCTTTCTGTTGCAAACTCACACAGACCACTCTAGGAGCTCCATTTCAAGCCCTAGGTTTTTCTGCATATCTAACATTATGTCTAATGGAATTTGACTATACTTACCCTTAGGAGAACATGCCTCTCCCAAGTGTCTGACAGATGAAGGTGTCAGTCATTTATGAAGCTGGAAATCAATGAGAGGTAACAATATTAGTCAGCTGGGGGTTGGGAAGTAAGGTAGCAAGTCCAGACCACTCTTTCAAAGGATTGGACAATGAGTATACCAGAGAAATGGGATGGCAGGTTGAGGAAACAGCAGGGTCAAATAAAAGGTTTTTGTTCTTTAAGAGAAAAGCAACTTCAGCATTTTTAAGAAGGAAGAATTGAGACCAGTGAAAGGAAAAGATCATGGATGGGTGAAGAAAAGAAAGTAATTGATGGGTCAAGCTCCCAGAGAAGATAAAAAGAATCAGAAATGGCAGTCTTTAGTAGAAGGAAAGATTTGTAACTAAAAAACTTTGTGTGTCTACTACATGTAAATGAAGGAAAAAGGAAGGAATGGGGGAAGGAAGGGAGGAAAGGAAAAAGGGAGGGAGGGAGGGAGGGAGGGAGGAAGGAAGGAAGGAAGGAAGGAAGGAAGGAAGGAAAAGAAAGAAAGAAAAAAGAAAGAAGAAAGAAAGAAAGAAAAGAAAGAAGAAGAAAGAAAGAAAGAAAGAAAGAAAGAAAGAAAGAAAGAAAGAAAGAAAGAAAGAAAGAAAGAAAGAAAAAGAAAAGATGGGAGGGAGGAAAATTCTTCCTCACTGACTAGTCAATAGCATTTGGTTCTTCAGGCATGTGGTTTCCTATATTTGATATTTAATTTATGCTGTCCTTTGCTACCACAAAGCCACACTGTACATCTTCCAACTCATGAATGTCCTTTGTCTATGTTTTACACTTACAGAAAAGAACAGAGCCTGTTTGTACTGTAGATAGAAAAGTGTCATTTTTAAATTAGACCTTACAAGAACATCCTGGAAAGATACCAAGTGCACCTATATGAATGAACTCTTTACTTTGGTCAGCTCCTAGCTAGAGGGACTCAGAGAAGACGACTTACAGTTAGTCAGAGGGATCTCATCCACACTCTTCAGGCTATCTATAGGTGCCAGTGAAAACCATACCTGCACAATTGTTTTTGTAGTGAACATATGTAACTTGCTCTGTAGAAATAGTACATGCATAAAAAGAGAAAACGTATCTTTGATTTTTTGTGATGATAGTTAAACCTTCTTTAGTTTAACAATTAGTTAATGGGTTCTCCAGAGAAACAGAACCAATAGAAAGCACATATATAGTCATATGTAAGAGATTTATTGCAGGAATTGCTTCACATGATTATGGAGGCTGAGAAGTCCCACAATCTGCTATCTGCAGAGTAGAGAACCAAGAAAGGTAATGAGATCACTCACTCCAAGTCAATAGACCCTAGAATCAGGGGGCCAATTGCACTAGTCCTGGTCTGCAGGTGAAGACCTGAGAACCAGAAGTTTTAATGGTCAAGAGCAGAAGATAGATTTCTCAGCTCAAGCAGAGAGAACAAATTCACCCTTTGTCTACTTTCTACTTTCTTTTTCTTTCCAAGCCCTCAACAATTGGGTGATGTTCAACTGCAATGGGGAGAGCAATCTTCTTTATCATTCAAATGCTAATCTGTGGGACACCTGGGTGGCTCAGTGGTGGAGTGTCTGCCTTTGGCTCAGAGCATGATCTGGGGGTCCTGGAATAGAGTCCCGCATCAGGCTCCCTGCAGGGAGCCTGCTTCTCCTTCTGCCTATGTCTCTGCCTCTCTCTTTGTCTCTCATGAATAAATAAATAAAACCTTTTTTTAAAATTGCTAATCTCTTCCAGAATCAGTCTCATGGACACACCAAGAAATGTTTTATCAGCTGAGTATCTCTTAGCCCAGAAAAGTGAAAACAAAATTGACACATAAAATTAATCATCACAGTTATACAATAATTACAGAAGAAAAACCAAAATCAGTTCATTACATGTTTATATTTTCTTAAAGAACCTATGAGGGAAAATAAATTTCCAATAAGCTGGAGATGCATACCATCTACATAACTATGCCTTAAAGCCTTTATTTTATCTCCCAGTCTCATAGCAATTCCAGATTAAAGAGTCTTTCTCACTGTTTCAAATCTCTCAGGCAGGCTAGCTGGTGGAGAATAAGCCCTGAAGCACTCCAACATGTGTCCCTTCCCTTCCTCTGTGTCTCCATAAAGATTCTATAAAATGGTAGACTGTTTCCCAACTCATCCCCTTCCACTGAGTGCTCCATTTCCAAAAATACCTAGGCCTAAAATCTATCAGGAAGAAGGGAGCCTGAGTTCATTACTTCCTCCGTGTTGACCCTCTGTTTCTCAGATTTTACATCATCTGCAGATATTCAGCAATTGCACTACAAATTGCACAACTCCTTGGGCTTGGTTACTGGTATAGTCATCCACTTTTGTCGTCATCCCAGCATCCAGAATCTCTTTCAATCAAAAAGTAGAAGGGTCATGGGAACTTAATATGCTACTGAACCACGAATTGGTTCACGGAAAAAAAAAAATGATGTAATTTCTAACCATGCTTGGGATCACATAGCATTCCACCAGGTTGTCCCAGGACTCCAGGGAACAGTGTGTGGTTACGCTCGAGTACTCTCATCTAGGAATTATGTTGCATGATGCCCAATCTTACAAGCTCTTGCCTCTGTTGATTACACAGTATGCAACAAGTAAAAGGTTTTTACTCTGATTTCAGCTTAAATGTCACATCCTCAGAGAGACCTTTCCTGACCACACAATGTAAATTAGTCACCCAGTCACTCTACCATAATATTCTGTTTTAATTCTCTGCACAACACGTATTACTAAGAGATACTTTTTTTTTACTTACTTAAGTTTATTTGTCTACTGCCTGCCCCTTCCCATTAGATAAAGGACCTGGTCTATCTTGTTTTTTGTAATATTTCCAGTGCCTGGAATAATGTTGGATGGCACATACTTAGCCCTCAATATGTATATGTTAAATTAATTACATCAAGGCAATACGATAGAAAAAAATGGCTAAAAGGCTACCTTGAAGATACTTTTAATATAGGATGGTCAAAGAAAGTCTTTTCAGGAGATGATTTTTGAGCCAAAACCTGTATGACAATTAGAAAAGAGTATAAGGTTTTGACTATTACACTGGCCTGAACATTTTTATTGTTGATATGAGACTGTTCTTGTGAAGAAAGGGCTTTATAACTATTGAAGAATGACCCAAAAAATTATGGGATTGGCCCAAGATTTCAACAGAACAGGTACAGGACTGGACCCACAGAGTGGGTTTAAAAGAAGTAATGAGAAAAATCATTTTCAAAGAGGTAATGAGAGAAATCACTGCTTCCAGAACATGTTCCTTTTCAGTAACCCAGAATTGTTCTTCCTTGAAGCTCCTTCCACCATTAAGGCTTACTCACCCAAGAGAAGAGAATAGCTGATAACAACTAAAATAAAAGTTCCCAGTGAAAACATGACAAGAGAAGTTCCACCAGATTAGGAAAAATACATGCTTTCCTACTGAGCAGTGGGAAAGCTTAAGAAGGAATAATATGCGCATTTCACCTAGGTTCTCTTGGGTTTCACTGCTCACACCCTGTACCCCTAAGATTTAGCCAGTGGAAGGGTTGATTGTGGAAACAGAAATCAGGTAGAAAAGAGAGACAAACCTCAGGCTGGTAAACTGTGCCCCGTGTAGAAAAAGGTTTGAACACTGCAGTTTCTATTTGTAACACATGAGCAGACCATCTCACAGAGCATCTGCTGACCTAAACTAATATGGGTGTCTGCAGCTACTGAGAAACAAGAACAAATTGTTAGAGAGGGAGAATTGTATTGGCTATCCTCAAGCCTTCTATACTTTTCCGTGCAATGTGGAAAAGATATAGATGTTCCTACCAGCTCCTGGAGAAGGTCATGGAAACCAGCCAAGATTTAAGATCCAGAGAGCTTGCCTTTGGGTTACTATAGAGAAAGGTGAGATGACACCAAAGGCCATAGGCTAGACGGGTAGGGCAGAGAGCCAATCGAGGACAAGACTAGACATTTCAGCAGTGGATGCAGTGAGGACAAAAGTCACTCACTGGAGAGGTGTGAATGTATCCAACTGGTGATCAACAGAAAAACAGAATGATATCATCTGGTCAAGAAACCCTTTCCCAAACCTATGAGGATAAATAAGCTTCTCCCTGCACACAGGTGCGCCATCTTGGGCATAAGGAAAAGGAAGGGAGATTCTGTAGAAGAGAAACAATTCTGGCTTATCTTATGAATTTTAAATTCCTTGAACATATACAACCATAAAAATGAAGCTATACACTAGAATAGATGAAATTACCTTTTAATAATAAGCTTTAAATAATGATTTTCTACAATCACCAAGAATTTTCTACAATCACAAGGAACATGAGGTCAGTTACAGAAATACATACTTAAGATTGTTTCAATTTTGATCCTACTCTGTTTTGTATTACTTAAGTGTCCACTTCTATTGTGTTTGAGATGCTCAAGTATGCTCAGTTCAACTGACAAACCTCCACACTGAGTATCCAAGGATACCTTTGGTCTTATAGTTGTCCTAGAGGCAAAGGTAGGGTACATGTAAGAGAGTACCTTCCTCTATTTGCCTTCAAGCCAAAGAAAAGAAACTTAGGAAGGTATTGCTTCCATACCTACAGTGACTATATGATTTATTGGCAGGACCCTTGAAGCTAATAATACAAAACTCCTAGTAAAAACCTGGACAATCAATGATGTGACTTTGAACTTCTCTGGAAGTGATCATTCTCTCTTTGTGTTGACCTCTACATTCTGATATACACTACTTCCCCTGCCCTCTCAACCTCTTCCAATTAAACCTATGTACCTCTTCTGTTGTCACTACCAAAAAAAGTTCTATTTTCTCTTTTTCTAAGTAGCTGTTAAGAAGAGATGATAGGTAGATCCAAGATTATCCATTAAACCATTATCCCATGGCATTGGTTCCTTTTCCTCAAGAGCAGGAAAACCTTTCTCCAGAAATATATTTCCAGATCTCCCACCCATAGAAGGGAAAAAAAGAGCTTTGTTTTCCATGCTGGAGAAGGTTGCCCAAATATTCACTACTACTTTCCTCCTATTCCCAATAAGATAAATGACTTACACAAATGCCAAAAAGAAAAGACAAACCCAAAATGAATTTTGGGGACAAAAGTGACTGACTTAAGTAAAAAAAGGTGGCTAACCAAAAAACAGAAAATGTAGGATCCAATTAAAATGGAGGCTCTAACACAAGAGAGAGGCAAAGAAATTCCCCAGAATAATAAGGAACAGCAGCAGGCCTAGAGCAACCAGTGCAACTAGAAGCAGGAGAAAAGAAAGCTTGAGAAAGAAGAGTTTGTCTGCAAGGGAATATTGAGATAGAATTAGTGGAGTATTTAATACTGTCCAAATTGTGACATTGTTCCAATGGGGTAATCAAAGAAGAGAAAATGTCTGTGTGTGTGTGTGTGTGTGTGTGTGAGAGAGAGAGAGAGAGAGAGAGAGAGAGAGAGAAGGAGAGGGAGAGAAAGAGAAGGAGAAAGAGGTAAGACTTTATTTACTCAGAAAAGTTAAATACCTAAAAGTTAAAACCTAAAAGTTGAAAGTGCTAGCCTCTGGGGAACAGATATCAGGAAAGGTAAAGGAAAGGGACTTCCTTTTCTCATTATTAGCTATAGTAGATTAAAGATAATCATAAATTCTTTGACACTCTCCCCACAGAAGCTCTATTTTCCTTGCTCATGAACGAATTTGGGTTGACCTGTAACTGCTCACAAATAATGTACCAGTGGATGTGACATTCTACTATTTCCAGTTCTAGCTTTTTGGAGGATTAGAAGCTTCCACTGTGGTCTCATGAATTCCTGAACCAACATGTAAGAAGACCAACCACCTCCCTTGAGAGACCACATGGAGAGGCCTTTAGACTGCATTAAAGAGAAATACCAACTGAGACCAACCTTCTAGTCACCTCACCAAGACAGAAGACATGGGAATGAAGCTGTTTTTGAATCATCAGACCAGCCAAATATACCTAGTTAGTGCTGTATGGAACAGAACAATCACCCAGCCAAGCCCTGCTTGAATTCCTGATCTAGAAAATCTTGACATAAAATTATTGTTGGTTTAAGCCATCACATATTGGAGTACTTTGTTATGCAGCAGTAGATAAGTGGAAACTAAGTCTTTTAGTCTTCAAGAGTAATAAGTCTTTGGTACTAAATTCTTAATATGTATATATATAATTTTCATAAAAATAAAAATTAATTTAAAATTGTTTGACCCATAGTCACCTGGGTGGCTCAGTGGTTGAGTATCTGCCTTTAGCTGAGGTCATGATCCCAGGGTCCTGGCATTGAGTCCTGCATCAGGCTCTTCATGGGGAGCAGGCTTCTCCTCTCTGCGTGAATAAATAAATTTTAAAAAATTAAAATAAAATAAAATAATTTGACCTGAAGAAGTTCAATGTATTATTCTGAGGTCAAGTTCATGGTTGCAATATTGCATTATAATTATACAAAATGTTATCCTTGGGCAAAACTGAATAAAGGGCATATGAGGGGGTCTCTCTATATTATTTCTTTTTTTTAAGATTTTATTTATTTATTCATGAGAGACACAGAAAGAGAGGCAGAGACACAGGCGGAGGGAGGAGAAGCAGGCTCCATGCAAGGAGCCTGATACAGGACTCGACCTCGGGAATCTGGGATCAGGCCCTGAGCCAAAGGCAGATGCTCAACCACTGAGCCACCCAGGTATCCCTCTCTACATTATTTCTTACATGAGACTCCACAGTTATCTAAAAATGAAAAGTTAAAAAAAATAATTCAAAACTTGAATGTTTGAAAAAAAAACTTGAATGTTTGTAACTTGTCATGCTTATTTATTTTTAACAAAAAAATCTTAATACCTTACATATTATCCTACATTTTTCCACTTAATATATTTGGTACCTATTTCCAAGTCAGCATTTATAGGTCTAGATTATTAATTTTAATGGGTACATTATATTCTTCTATATGGATCTGCTATAATTTATTTAGCTAGCACCTTACTGATGGATATTTCCCTTTCTAGAGACTATGTACTCTATCAAATCACATTTCTAAATTCCCTTTGAGTAATAAAATTAAAAATTTGGCAATCTGGCTTTATTCTTCTACTATAGACTGATAGAATTTATTTCTATCATTCTTATAATAATTCCTTTCCTGTCTTCACATCTTCCATAAGCATTTCTAGAATCAGTAAAACTACTAAATCCAGGAAGTGTCCACAATCTATATATAGCTAACTCAATTTCTGGGTAGCAGACCGCAACTCCAACTGCTAGATGTCAGGGAAAAAAAAAAAAAAACTAAAACTAAAAACTCCAGACCTGAGTCACCCAGTCTAAAGGGGTTTCAGAAAAAAAATGAAACCAGTAAAGAATACAGAAATATAAGAGAAAGAACTGATCTTCAAAACTAAGTCTCAAACATACAATGCTTCCAAAATCAATCATCCCAAAATAATTCTTTAATCTGACTAGCATTTTCTACATTAATGATATCATTAAGATCAAAAGAAAAAGTAAAAAGGATGTTCTAGGTAGATACACTGAATTTCTGCCCAAGAATAAGTCATTTTATCATCTAAAGACTCTCTGTACTTTTAAGAAGGTATATCTGAAGTGCATTATTTTCTCATTTGCTCATTCATTCCACAAATATCTAAGTGTCTGCTAGTATGTCAGAAGCAGACAAAGGCAGCTCTTGCTCCTTGGAAGAGCTCATACTCTAGTGGAAGGACCAGAAACTAAGTTAGTAAGTATAACAAAGTGGCAGAGGGTAATAAAAATAAGCACATGATAGCACAAAGTTACATAGGAGGACATGCAAGGCTTTATGAAGGAAAATTTTAAAATCTTAAAGCAGGGATAAGCAAGCATCATCTGTGGGGAAAAGAGCTTATTCCAGGTGGAGAGCAGCATGGACAAAGTCCTAGAAGCAAGCATAGAGTTGAGTGTAGCTTGCAGGAGGGGGTGACTCTACAAGCAGTTACATACGGCCCAAGTATACAATGGAGCATGGGGTTCTATGAGAGGTAGCCTGGGTTCCGATCTTATACAGCTGGGCGCCTTTCTGAAGAATTTGACATGTATCCCTCAAGTAAGGGGGATCTAATAAAGAAGAGCTTTGCTTGGGGTGAGCATATTTCCCAGTTTGACCAAGACTATTCCAGTTCATGCTTGTTTGTTGTCCCAGTGTGATTATAGTAGTGCTCACTTTCACATTCACATTTCACATTTCACATTTCACTAGGGTTAAGATGGTAACCCTAATTATCACTGTAGTTATGATAGATCTACTTCCAGTTGTACTCAGATCATTGAAAATCTGCTTATGTGAGAAATAACAGACAAGAGAAAGAAAGAAGGAAGAAAATCTATTCCCCACCCTGGAGAAACACTGATCAGTACTAAATTAAACAGTAGTGAAAGAGTAAATGAAAATTTTTCATTAAGTACATGCAGCAGCAATTTTTGTAGTCTTTTGTGTTGTGAAACCCAAAAATATGTGTTCTGCAACTTTTACTTTTCTTTTTTATACTCATTCTTAGGATTTTCTTTCCCCTGGATATGATACTTGCTGATTTATAAAAGGAGTATATAAATATGATAATAATTATAAAAATGTAAAAGGAAAAATTAAAGTCTATCTTCTTTCCCAAACCAAGGCCCAGCATCCAAATGACACCATATGAATTCATCAACTTACTAAATAGAATAAATCTAATTGGGCAAAATAAGAGAATAGTTTTTTTATTCTTCCACTGCCTTCAAACACGTTTGGACTGCCCTTCTCAGGGTTAGCTAATTCCTAAAATAGCCAACTAGTCTGCAAGTGCACTTTTCATAAGCAAACCAATGAATCCATAGCACATACCCCAACTACCTCCTTTATCCAACTGTCACACTTAGGGCCACTATCCCCCTGCCCTAATCACTCCAGGGCCAGGTGCCAAACAATGAGGCACAGTCCCTCCTCCTCAGAGCTTCTCAAAATTATTCAAATTAGGAGTGATACCAGAGAGATAACCAAATAAGACATCCCCACTAGCATCTCCTCAACCTCAACAATCTGGCATCCATACACAGTGTCTATGGCTCCCAAAATTGCCTTTGTGGGAGCTGCAGGACTCAGGACCATATGCTAAGGGATCTAGGAGTCTTGCCACATCCTACACCCAACCCTATTCTATGAGTTGCAGGATACAAAATCAACATATAGAAATCAATTTTGTTTCTTTATACTTACACTTACAATGAAATATCTGAAAAAAGAAATAAAGGAAACAGTCCCATCCACAACAGCATCAAAAAAAATACTTAATAAATTCAATCAAGAAGATGAAAGACCTGTACACTGAAAACTGTAAAACTTTGACTAGAGAAATTAATGAAGATACAAATAAATGAAAAAATATCTTATGTTCATGGATTAGAAGAATTAATATTGTTAACATGTACATACTCCCCAAAGCTGCTCTAGATTCAGTATGATCCCTATAATAATTTTAATGATATTTTTCACAGAAATGGAAAAAATATTTTTTAATTTATATGGAACCGAAAAAGGACCCCAAATAGCCAAAACAACCCTGAAGAGAGAACAAAGCTGGAGGCATCACACTTTCTGATTTCAAAGTATATCACAAAGTTATAGTAATTAAAACAGGATGGTAATGGTATAAAAATGAACATATAGACCAATCGAATAGAAAACCTAGAAATAAACCCTTACATATATGGTCAACTATTGTTTGACAAAGGAACCAAGTACACTCAATGGCAAAATGATACTCCCTTCAATAAACAGTGTTGGGAAAACTGGTTAATCACATGCAAAAGAATGAAATTGAACCCCAATCTTATATCACTCACAAAAATTAATTTGAAATGAATTAGACTTAAACATAACACCTGAAACCACAAAACTCCTAGAAAAAAATGGAAAAATGTTCTTGATACTGATCTTGGCAATAACTTTTTTGGATATGTCTCCAAAAGCACATACAACAAAAGCAAAAATAAACAAGTGGGACTAGACCAAACTATAAAGCTTCTTGCAGCAAAAGAAATGATCATCAAAATGAAAAGGCAAACTATGAAATGGGAAAACATATTTCCAAGCCATATACCTGTTAAGGGGTTAAAATCCCAAGTACATAAGGAACTCCTACAACTCAATAGCCAAAACCCAAATAGCCCTAATTAAAATAGGGAGGACCCAAATAGACACTTATCCAAAGAAAGCATACAGATGACCACAGGTACATGAAAAGATACTTAACATCGCTAATTACCAGAGAAACAAGATATCCACAATGAGATACTACCTCACATCTGTTAGAATGGCTATTATTAAAAAAGTCAAGAGATTAAGGATGTGGAGGAAAGGGAACTCTTGTGCATTGTTGATGGGAATGTAAATTGGTACAGTCACTATGAAAACCAGTATGAAGTTTCCTCAAAATAGTAAAAATAGAAATACTGCAAGATCCAGCAATCCCACTTCTGGGAATATACCCAAAAGAAATGAAATCGGGATCTTGAGGAGATATCTGCACTCCCATATTCACAATAGTCAAAAAAATGGAAACAATCTAAGGGTATATCAACAGATGAGTAGGTTAAGAAGATGCAGTATAATATATATATATATATATATATATATATATATATATATATATATGTATATATATATATATATATATATATATATATATACACATTGGCTTATTATCCAGGCCTGAGGAAGAAGAAAATCCTGCCAATCGTGACAATGATGAACCTTGAAGACATTGTTCTAAGTGAAATATCTCAGAAGAAGATAAGTACTATACAACCTCACTCACATGTATAATCTAAAAACATCAAATTTACAGAAACAGCAGGATGGTAGTGACCAGGGGCCGAAGGCTGGGGGAAATGAGATGATGTCAGTAAAAGGGTACAAATTTCCAGTTATAAGATGAATAAGTTCTGGGGATCAGGTGTACAGCATGGTGACTATAGTTAACAATATTGTATTATATACTTGAAATTTGCTGAGAGTATAGATCTCAAAGGTTCTTACCACAAAAAAAGAAATGTAATTATGTGAAGTGAGTTTGGAAGTATTATTTAACCCTATTGTGGTAACCATTTCAAAATATGTAAGTGTATCAAATCATCACATTTTATACCTTAAACTTACATAATGTGTCAATTATATCTCAATAACTGAAAAATAAAAGAAATTATTTAAACTAGCCAATTCTAAACCTACTTATCATTCCTCCCCCTTTCCTTCCCACAGACACCACAGTAAAGGCTCTGCCCACATTTTCCCCCCTCCCTCTGCCTCCTGATGGATC